TTCCGCACCTCCACATGATATTGAAATGTGTTTCAATGATGATAGTAGTGGAGATACTACTTGGGGTGAAGGGGATGATCGTCCTCTCATCCTCAACGATGACTTGATGACTGACTCTTGGACAAAGGTGGGCCGCCAAGAAGCTGTTTACTGACCGTTTGACTTATTGACGTCAGACCGACGTGCAATCAACTTCATCCTTGTGTAACAACAAACCTTCATCCAGCTTTTCACCTGCCAAGCTGGATCTACCTCCATTGGAGACGATACGACTTTACTCTCCTCCCAGCTCTCCCAGTCCAATCCGACCCCAACGATTCCCCCGGCAATCAGAGGAGATTACAGATTCTGTTTCTGGTCGAATTAACCCCGCAACTTGTCATCGTTTATCACAACCATCAGATCGAACACTAGTTGGAACCCCAAGCTCTAAACTTAGACAGACCATCAACGATGACTCGGTCACCAACCTCAACTCTGTACTACCTTCAGGGACGATATGTGATGCTTGTGATAAAGAAGAGATGGAAGGTCGCGTCACACAAGTCTTACCCTGTAAAGTAAGCTGTATTAGACTCTACTCATCCTGCAAAGCTGACAGACTAGCATTGGCTTTGCGCTACTTGTTTTTCTTCCTTGATCTCGGCCGTTTCCGTTTCACAAAAACCTTCCAAATGCCCTTCATGTCTCCAACACGTCTCAGGATTGTCCTCCAGGCGCAAGACAACAATAGAAGAAGACCATCCTAATCCATTGTGTCCAGCTTCCAAACAGAACACCTCTTCTGCTTCTGAGGTGGAAGTCAATACAGTCGTCTTGCGCATTGACAATGTAGCTTGGGTGAGTGAGCCAGCGAGGGGAATAGTAATTCGAGCTGATGTGTTCAGGATGTAACACCAACAGTGGTGGAAAGTTTCCTCCCTCGTCATGTCTTACCACCTTCTCATCCTCATCCTATTCATATCCTCCTTGATCGAATGGACGGTAAGACGAAAGATTATCTTGTATGTCTGTTCCTCGTTTGTTGAGCAATGACTGAAAACAGTACGTTGAAGTACGTTCACAAGCTGCAGCGAAAGAAGTACTTCAAAGACGTCAGAATAATTTCATGCCCGGTGGTCCTCTTTCTCGTCGTAGTAGACCGGTGACCATCACTCCGGTGACACATGCGGAACTCATATCAGAGGTAAGTTAACTCTTATCCTGCCCTTCAACCATTACACTAGCTATGCTACAGTAATATTCTTTCCACCCTTCATTTTCCTTTCCTTCCCTGTCTATTGCTTGTCCCCGGTTCCCCTTCTCCTCCTTCTATTCCCCCTCCCTCCTCAATTAGGGCTCTTGATGCCATGATTTTCATACTATGAACATCGCCTGGTTTATCCATCTCAGTTCACAGGAAAAGAAGCGATAAACCCCCTGACAAACAGCTACGTCCCCGTTCCCCACAAGAACTTCAAAGTTTACTTCGTCTTTGTCAAGCATCCATCTCTTCACCACCTTTAACAAACCCATTTCTCAATCACACATCTTCGTACGTATCACCAAACGGTGTTGCACACTTTGTCAAATCTCGTCATGGACCATTCCATCTTCTCATGTCTATATTAAGTAAACTTCGGGGTAAAGATAGTCCTGCATATTGGGATTTACTCGGTACGTCTTTCTCTCTCTCTCTCTCTCTCTCTCTCTCTCTCTCTCTCTCTCTCTCTCTGTGTGTGTGTGTGTGTATGTGTGTGTGGTCCCCCCTTCCTCTCTCTCTCCCCCTCCCTCACTTTTTTTTCTGTCACTCATTCCATCACATGAAAACAAGGCTGATGAGTAGCTACCACATCTGGTCAGTCATCCCGATCTATTTCTTCAATTCAATAAAGACGAAACTAATAACAAAGGAGCTATAGCCGCACTTGCCACTATTTCCAGAGATGGTAACACTCCCGACAATCTGAACAAATGGAGAAAGAAAGATACAGAAGATGAAATGGTTCTTAATCAATTAAGTAAAATGTTCGAAAGTTGTTTTGCCGATTTGACCTCGACTTAAAAACACTCTCACTTTTTCTTTTCAAATCCTTTCTCCAATTTCAACCATTTCCTTTGACTATCAAAATATGGTCTACGTTATCATATGATCATCTCATATCATCCCCCTTATATTCACAAAGACGATAATAAACAAGAAAGAATTTTGACATCACTAGAGTATTCATATCATAGTAATAAAATATCATACAATAGTCTTAAACATGTCATTCAATTTTCATAATAAATATCTTAATCTAGATTTATCTCTCTCACTGATTATACTTGGTCCAAGAAGTATATCATATTCTATTCCTTCTAATCCCCAACGCCATATCTATGTCATGATCAGTCTCTCTCTCGTGCGTAAGTTCTCTCTCCTCTTCTAAATGGGTACTTGTGCGCTTGGTGCCGGATGGAGTCTTTCCTTCGTCCTTGAAAGGGGACTCGTAAGAGTGGTGAGGATGCAGAAGACGAGGGAGCGGGCGACCAATTTGATCAAACTCACAAGATATCTTCTTAATTCTTTATCAAACGGTCTTACCAATCTCCATTCTTCCCTCTCCTCAATTGACAACCCTTCCAAAACATCTTCTCTCCCAATTCCCTTTCCTTTTCCCTCGATTCTCTGATCAAAAACATTTTCATCCTCACTCAAACAATCCCTCCAATCCATCTCTACTGAATCATCCCGCACCTGGACTGACGCTCTTTCCATAGCCCTAGTCCGCTTATGTAACCACTTGGATTCATCCCTTGGTGCTCCACCTCCAGGTAAAAGATCCGAGAATATCCTAAATGAATCTGATGCGTATATTCCGGCTCCATGAAAGATCTTGACGTCCCATTCGAATTTGTTAACTTGAACAGGTACATCGTCTAGCTTTGTCACATTTTCCAAAGACGAATCTTTTGCAATCTCTCGCTTTCTATGTTTCTTACCTTTGACGTCATTCTCTTCGTATACTTGGTGAGATAAACCTTGCTCGTCTGTATCTATATGTTCCAAATCCAAATCCGAGTTTCTTTTCCTTTTCCTAGATCTTCTTTTGCCCTTGATGGTCGTTGCCAGCTCATGAGTCTTGCTTACTTCCGCATTATCCCCAATGAATTCCGTCACTGTATTCATATCCTTCTCGGATGTCGGTATTGTCGATACGGCTGAGATAGTATTAGATGAGATTTGATCAAGAGACAAAGGTCGTGGCCATGCAAGAGAAAGGTATTGTTGACTAAACCGAACTAACGTAGCTGCTCTTTGGTTGTATAATCCTAAGGGATACAAAATCTCACTAAGATCGAGGATACTCGCTATTTTATCAGATTTTGTTG